TTTTTGAAAGAAATCATACATAACCATGGTGTTAAAATAACTTTTTATATAAAGTTTGGGGTATTTAAATTACATATGAAAGTTCGGGGTGTTTATCTCACATCCCATCAAACTTTGGGGTATTTTAATTATTTTTTCCAAAATTAAAACTAAAACAGTCACAAAAGAAGAGAAAGTAGAGGAGGTTTAAACAATTAAAAGACTCCAGGCACCAGGGGGACTCGAACCCGGGTTTGTAAGAAAGCTAAAGCGAAGTTCTACCATCTCTGCTACCTAAACTATTGTTTACAAAACAGGTCGGTGTATATTTATTACATTACTTTGAGACGGGGCTGTACATACATATATACATATATATACACCACCATCTCCGGCGAACAGGGGGCGGCAGCACCGGCTCGCCCCCCGCCCCCCTAGTTCCGCCACTGCATGTATGTTTAAGGTTTTTTTATATCTGTACAGACATGTGTAAAAAGTGTGTACACAAAAAGTGTGTACCCCAAGTCCAACTCATCATATTATCTGTCCGTAGACCGAGGGCAACATTCAACCAGCTCCTACGCCCTCTGTCGACCGCTGCCCCTGCACGTCCCTGCGTCGACCGTCTCCCAGCTCGCCCCTGCGCCGACCGCCTCCCCTGCTCGCCCTTGCGCCGACCGCCTCCCCTGCTCGCCCCTGCGGCGACTGCCTCCCCTGCTCGCCCCTGCGCCGATCGCCGCCTCTGCTCTCCCCTGCGCCGACCGCTGCCCCTGCTCGTCCCTGCGCCGACCGCCGACCCTGCTCATCCCTGCGCTGACCGCCTCCCCTGCTCGCCCCTGCATCGACCGCCTCCCCTGCTCGCCCCTGTGCCGACCGCCTCCCATGCTCATCCCTTCGGCGACGCCGCTCCTGCTCGTCCCTGCGTCGACCGCCCCCCTGTTTGCCCCTGAGCTGACCGCCTCCCCTGCTCTCTCCTGCGACGACCGCTGCCCCTGCCCGCCCCTGCGCCGACCGCCTCCCCTGCTCGTCCCTACGTCGACCGCCGACCCTGCTCGTCCATGCGCCGACCGCCGCCCCTGTTCGCCCATGAGCCAACCAAGTTTAGAGATACTTATTAGAGTACTGATTTTGCTAAGTCAATTTTTAGGAATTTATCGGAAATGGGTATTGGGGCAAAATCTGTTCTTGGTGCCCTTATGGATACTTATTGCCCCTGCAATTCAAACATTGCAGTTTATGATGTTTTAATAAGGGTTTTATTTGAGAGAAGGAATGGTTAAGGATGCTTTGGAGGAACTTTGCTTTCTAACCGGTTGATGTATACAAGTGTAATAGATGGGCTTTTCAAGAATGGTTTACCAAAGGTTGCCTCTTGTTTCTTTGATGAGATGATTAAGCAAGGGTTGAGACCAGATGCTATGGCGCTAAACACAATGATAGATGGTTACTCAATGATTGGTCAAATGGATCAAGCAAATAGACTTTTCTCAATCATGAAGGTCAAAATTTTGTCTCCTAATATTGATACATATAACAGCTTATTACACGGTTATGCAAAATTGCAAAATATATCAGAGTGCTTTGGATTCTACTGTTCAATTTCAAGAAACGCCTCATCCCAGATATGTCAACCAGAAAAGCTTTTATCTTTGCACTTTGTGAGTCATGTATGTTGGATGTTGGGGTTAAATTTGTAAAAAATGATAATGGAAGGAGCGGTGATAGATAAAGCTTCATTCAACATGATAATTGCGAAATTTAGTGAGAGGGGTGAGATGCAGAAAGCATTTGATGTGGTGACTATTATGAACTTAGCGGGCGGTTTTCAACCAGATGGGGATACTTATGAATCAATACTTAAAGGACTAAGAAGAATCTATGATTTCCAAACATCTCATGTTGTCTTTCATGAAATGCTGAAAAATGGTTTCATGCCGACTGATAGACAGTATGTCAATGTGGTTAGTGGTATGTGTAGGGTGGGAGATGTACAACGAGCATTCCAGTTTAAGGATGAAATGGAATCTCTTGGCATCAGTTCCCGTGATATTGCTGACAGTGCTATTGTTAGAGGTCTTGTGCGCCATGGAAAGACGGAGGAAGCAATGATTGTTCTTGATTTGTACAAGGAGATGAAGCAAAGAGGTGCTTGGCCTAACATTACCACATATGATGTTCTTGTTAATGCGGTTCATCCGGATATTCTATGCTAATTTGATAAGATCTCATTTGTTAAGAGGTAATTGAGTCAAACACGGTTCATCTGATATTGAAATTTGTTCCATAGAAAATACAGTATCTCTAGTATATGCGTATAACTATCAACAAGTCTCGTACTATCTCAATAATTGAAGTAGTCTGTCAACGATAGTCTCATCATCTCATGTGACTGACATTAATTGTATTGATTAAAAAGTGACGCAGTTACAATATTCCAACTATTTTAAAAAAAAATAACTTAATTATTATTAATAAAGATAACAAGAACAATTATAAATTACAAAGGATGAGACATAGAAACATTCCCGCAAAGAAGTAGACTTGAAAATTGACTAATCGCTAAATCAATTAGTTCTCAAACAAACTGCTAAAACAAGTAAGGAGCCAATCGTTAACCCCGCAAAGAAGTATACTCTACCTGCAGATTGCATGCTCCTCCTACGATCACAATAGTTCTCAAACAAACTGCTAAACATTCCGGTTTGTTTAGTCGCCGGTAAGGAGCCAAGCGTATAATTTGTTCCGGTTTCACCAACCATCAGAAAGAAAGCACTCAATGTGCTTATATATTTCTAGAACGGCGATTGTTTAGGAGGAGGGCGATTCACATCAATATTGACGTAGAAGAAAAGCATATTCCTGATTGATGAAGAGTTCAGTACAAATATCCTATTAGCACACAATAACACCTGACTGAAGATGACGGGGGATAAAAATCTGACAAATGATACTTCATCACTGAAAACACTATCTATATGCATAGCTAGGAAACAAACATATAGATAAATTTGAAAACACCAATTAAGAGGATAATTTTCCATTATATAATCAAAGAAAATTGAAATAAGAGAATGAAGAGGAAAGGAGGATGCAATGACAAGATTTCCCCATGATGGCTCCTCTCTTTTTTACAATAATCTAGCTATAGGCATACAACTTTTTAGTCCTGACTTTACAAAACAAAGGTCTTTTGATAAAAATGAAATTGACTTAATCGATTAAATTTGTTGAAATTGAGTTTGAAGTGGCCGAATCCATTGAATTACGGATAATATATTTATAATGCATTTTAATAATAAAATAAAGAAAAAAATAGATAAAATAGTCATCTAAATTAAATTCAGCCAATATAATTCAAGGAGAAAGATAACTAAATCTCATTTATTTTGATTATTACACAATGCAGCGCACGAAACTAAAATTTACGTACTATCTCCGTTCCTTTTTATTTAGCGATCTTTGACTTTTCCAATTAAAGGTGATAAGCTTTTCATTTTCATATTATCAATATTACCATGTAATAACAATATATATATTTGATCGAAGTTTAACTTCTCTTACTTCAAAATCAAAGTTGGCTAAATAAAAAGAGACAACGGATGTATTTGATAAAAAATTGATTAATGAGACCAATAAATTAAAAATATAAAACATCAAACAAAATAAAATCATAATTGGTACCGTCAGAGAAAAAATATGTGATAAATGAAACGATGACATAATAATGATGTGCCAACACATCAATAAAAACAATGAATATTAGCGACATGTAAACAATTTATAGTTGGCTTGAAAATACTTGATTGCATTATCTTTTTACTTTGAAAATGTATCAAATGAGATATTCTTTGATCTGAGCGTCGCAGTCTTTCCCTAACAGGTTTAGGGTTTGGTTTTTCCTTAGCAGATCTAAGGTTTGGTTCTTCCGGTCGATGAATCCCTTTCACTTGTGTCCGGCGATGGGATTGGAGTTGAGGCAGATTGACAAGAATCCTTGCCCAAGCTTGACGACATCGATGTCAGAGTTCCGCGATCGATTTCTTCGTGAGAACGGTAGCAAGGGCATGACATTGATAAAGATGACCGCTAATGGTGGATTTGCCACGAGCACGGGAAAGTGGCAGACTCGGAGATTTGTGAGAGCAAGGACACACTAGACACTAAACTTAGTTTATAATAAAAACTTCGGGCTCGAAGAGATTTGTGAGAGCAGAGGCACTGGTTTTTACCTTAAGTGCTACTTGTGAATTTTCGGGCCCGAAGCGGGGGCACGTGCCCCCTAGCCCCCCTTAGGTCCTCCACTGCGTGGGACGAGGAGAGGTGCACGGATTTTGAGCAGACCAGATGACGATTGACAATGAAGGATCAATTAGAATGGTAGCAAGGATATGGCCTCCTCCTGAACCGCCGCCATGGGTTGTACGAGGTGTTAGAGTACGTGGAAGTTTTTCTATTAGTTATTTTTATTTTGTCACTTGGCTTCTTGTTATCGTCTATGTTGTTAGGTTCGTCAGTTTGTTTGGGAATTCAGCCTTTTTTTATGTCATTGAGTTTGTTTGGATTTACGGGAACAAGAATGATTGTGTCAAACCGGTTACATGGAAAGCGATTCGCGTTGATCATTCAGAATCGTCTCTAAGTCTGATCATAGGGATTTATCGTAGTTCTTGTATTTTAGGTGGTGTAAGTTTTGTTTTTAAAGAACTCCCCGGTCCCTTGTTCAGATGAGGCATCATGACCGGATCAGTGTATGTCTTCAAAGATCGTTGAATTTCCGTATCCCGTATTATATTTTCCGTTCCTCTGCTCCTCGAGAGGCTTCAGTTGGTTCCGTCGACGTTTTCGTTTCCGGCATTCAGACCATGTACGTTCTTTCATCATCTTCCTATCTGCACTCTGCAACCAGTTACTGCGACCGGTCGTAGACCAAAACTAGTAAGATTTTCACCTTTCCAATCTTAATCAACTGATCTTAGTTTTTCTTTAAGTTCTACACTTGCCATTAAGAATTTAAAGAGTGGGTTTTCATGTCCACATTAGGGCGTGACATGCCCTTTCTACACCCCCACAGATGGGGAATATAGACATTTTTCTCTGAAAAAAAAGACATTTCGTATTCTCCCAAAGTACCCCAATGGGCCCAACTCATTACTCTTTATTAATTACTGCCAACTACTTGTTACCCAATCCAATTTACTTCGAATAATTAGCTACCGTCTTCCGCCGTACGCGGCGGCCTTTCAATTGGTGGCGCGGTTAGCTCTAGTCGTGAGCCACTCCACAACGTCTCCGAAAACGCGTTCCACATTCTCCTCCGGCTCACCGACCATTTGGTGCCACATTCCAGGATATATTTTCAGAGTCTTGTCCTTGCTGGCGGCGCGTCTGTAGAGCTCTTCCACGCACGCCGGATCGCATACAACGTCGCTCTCCCCGTGAACGATCAAAAACGGGACGTCCACTTCTTTAAACCTCGACTGCAAATCGCCGCATACCCTCAGCAATCAACTGATCTTAGTGTATTGGCAATGTTTATTTCAATGTTTGTTTATTATATACTGTACAAATTTCAATGTTTGTCTTTAATAAAACATTTACTGAGCTGATAGACTAATTAGGGAGCTAAAGTTCTATTCTTTTTAGCATATAGGGCTTGTCACCGGAGAAACAGCAATGGAAAGCAAGCCACCAGTTGGCACTGCCGCTTGGACTGGTGCGAAAGGCGGTCACACGGTGGAGGAAGGCGAGGCCATGGTCCAAAAGGGATTGCAAGGTTAAATTGCATTTCGGTATCATTTTCGCTTCCTGTTTCTTTATTTGTAAGTCACGATCTAATGCATTTTGCTAGGGTTTAGTGTAACATCATATGTATTACAGTATTAGTCAATGCACTTCAGATTCAAAGGTTAAGTATATGAGGGAGCAATTGGAGAAAGCGGGATGCAGAGTTACTGATAATTTTTTCAAAGCTGTCCACTGCGATAAGCCTGCGTCCGGCTTTTTTGTTCCCGAGGGTGGAGGGGTAAACTCATTCATACTTACTGCTATGTTCCCTGAATCCCCGTAGCTGTTTATTACACTCCGCTCTGTTGGGATCCTGGAAAATACTGGGCAAAGATCATACAGAGTATGAACGTAAACATTGAGGAAAATTGGAAGGGCTGAAATGGTTTTTTTGGGGTGACGGGATAAAGTGCTGGCTAAAAATCAACAAAGTGATGTCAATCACATTAAGACTTTAAGACTGAAAAATTAAATATGTTGATCATAATATGAATTTAAGACTAGGAAAATCTAAATATATGTGAATAAAAATAATCACATTTAAAGGTTAAACCCAAAGTTTGTTAGTCATTGCTGGAATAAGAAAATAAACTCCCTTGGCAATTTTTTTGTTTGTTTTTGTTTTCATTTTTCTCCCGTTTTCTGTGGTCCAGTCAAACCCTTAAAGGTTAAACCCAAAGTTTGTTAGTCATTGCTGGAATGCTGGAAAAGTTTTGAATGTAGCTAAGACTTGTTACTTGTCATGGTTTTGGGTATGGTTTCAGATTAAAATATGTGCAAACAATTTGAGATTTCAAGATGAAGTAACTCAAGTACTTATCCACGAGCTCATCCATGCATATGATCATTGTCGTGCTAAAAATTTGGACTTTAAGAATAAGGAACATCATGCTTGCGCTGAGGTTTGTGCTCTTTGCCATGTTCTGTAATAATAAACAATTATATACTCTGCGAGTGTTTGTTGGTTGAAGTGAACCATGTGATCCAGCCAGGGATGGAGACAGGGAGGGGCTGCAAGAAAAAAAAATCTTAAGTATATACTATGTATAAATACTTTTAATCTATAAAAAATATGTTGATATTTTACACTTTGGCCCCTTCAATGTAACATTTTTAAGGACCAACCCTTCTAACCATAGATTTCTGGCTCCGCCACTGGATCCATCTAACTATCAATTTTTCAATCTTGTTCAGGGTTGTTAACGAGCCGCGCCCGAACACCCACAACTCGAGCTCAGTTAGATTCGGTAATAGGGATGTTCGGGTTCGAACTCAAATCTCGGTGAGCTTTACAAATGAGGCTCGTGTTCAGCTCTATAGGCGTTAGATGTTTGAACCGAACGCGGGATAAACTCGATAAATATGATTAAATTCAAAATTTTAGGTGATGCTCGTTAATATGCTCGTGCTCAAATTATTCGACAAGTATTCGGTTCGTTAATAATCATATTTAAATTCATAAAATCATACTAATTATATTTAAATTTTGACATATACGTAGTTGATGGATAGCGTACCCAGGGGTAGTTTATCCAAGGGCGGAAAGGGGTTATTACGAGAATAACTTAGAGAGAAGTCAGAGCAATAAGTAAGACAGAAAAAGTGTATTCGAATATAGAAACTTGTGATGCTTTACAATGGAGAATGGGCTGCTATTTATAGCAGTAATAAATGCGATGAGAGTACACGTGTCAACAATCTAACGATCGAGGGGTCACCTCAATCGGGATGGCACCGGCATACGCATGTGCACCGCATTAAATGCGGCTGTCGCTTGTCTCCAAAGGGAATCTTCGATGTTTGTGCTGTAGCCGAAGGCTCCCCTGTGGCCGGGGGCTCTGCGTAGCCGAAAACTACCCAAGTGCCGAAGGCGTGCATGAGCCGAAGGCTCCTGATTTCCTCCGTTTTCTCTCAGTAGGTTTGTATGCATAAAATCAGCTGTCCTGTGAGATTCAGGAGCCCTCGGCCATGAGGCCGAAGGCACCTGTATGTGCATCGTGGGTTGTCCTTTGGGCGACTTGTGCCTCTTGGGCCTGTTGGGCCTGTGTTAGAGTATTAGGAGTCTGTGGGCCGGGGGTCCCTGGTCCATATACTCCATCAGTAATATATAAATTAAATTTATAATTTGAGGGTGTTCGATAGGTTCTAGCTTGAACTAAGCCGAATACTACTATGTTCATGACCATTTCGAACTTAAAACTCTGCTCGGGTTCGAGTTCGAAAGCTCGTTAAGCTCGGCTCGTTAGGTTCAAAACCGAGTTTGAAATACTTTGTCTCACATTGTGAAAGCATCGTCTAACTATAAAATATTGAACCAATATAAATCCAAGATAGTATCATTTAATATTTCATATGTGGGTCAGTGTCTCACACGATATTAGGCTTATTAGTATCTTGAGTGTCGCTTTGGCATTGCACTAGTATCTTGGCCAGGCACACCCCATCCAAAAATACTAACCTACAAACTCAATAATATGCATCACTTTGAACTTCAATATGCAGTAAAAATAATGTAAAGAAGCAGGGGTGAGATCACATACAAACTAGTCCTCCCATTCAAATCATCTTTACATTATTTGTATTGCACATTGAAGTTCAAAGTGTTTCATATTATTCAAGCCATCAAATAGTTGTTTCATATTTACATTATTTGTATTGCATATTGAAATTCAAAGAGTGCATCTTTACATTATTTGTACTGCATATTGAACTTCAAAGTGTTGCATCTTATTGAGTTTGTAGGTTAGTAAGTTAAGCCTGGTTTGTATGTGATCTCACCCCTATATATATATATATATATATATATATATATATATATATATATATATATATATATAAGGAGTGGTTCTGGTAAGAACGGACTCCCAGGAGAGAAATAAGAACGAATATGGACCGTTGGATTGTATTATGTGGAACAGAAATGTGAGGCATGCGAAGGAGATTGAAATGTGAGGCATGCGAAGGAGAGAAATGGGAATGAATCTGGACCGTTAGATTTGCTTCAAGTGAAATTCAATGTACATTAGATGAAACGGTAATGTGCATTAGGTGAAATTCAAATGTGCAGCACAAATGGTACAATACAGTGACATTATGTGAAGTTGAATTGTGCCATTAGTTGACATTGAAATGTGCACTAGGTGGCACTTAAATGTGCAGAATAAAATGTACGGTGTGATGTTATTTTTGTATCTTTTATTCCGCACATTTCATCTAATGCACATTTGAGTTTAAGTTTTTATTCCGCACATTTCAATATAATCTAATGCACATTTCAATTTCACCAAATGCACAATTCAGTTCCACATGATACAATCCAACAGTCCAGATTCATTCTCATTTCTCTCATGGGAGTCCGTTCTTACCGGAACCGCTCCCATTATACACACACACACACACACACACATATATATATATATATATATATACTATCTTCCGTTTTTTTTAATTGCAACATGTTGACTTTTTGCACTATTCACATAATCTACTTTGACTACATTATACACTATTATTTTATTGATTTTTTTCAATTTTTTTTCAATTCATCTCATTACAAATTTTCAAAATCTGATTTTTAATATTTTTATAGTAATAGAGATTAAGATATATTTACGGTCAAATGTGGGTGTTGGCAAATGTGCCAAAGTTGACTGTTGCAACTAAAAAAGAACGGAGGAAGTATATATATATATATATATATATATATATATATATATATATATTATATATATAATCATGGTTTCTCTTCTTATAGGGTTGATGTTTTATGAAGAAACTTCGATTTTTTATATGTATCTGGTCAAAGGAGCAAGTCAGGTTATAGTTTGGCTCATTTATTCATTTGTCCAGCCGAAACTCAAATCTTAATACCTGCACACAAGAAATTAGTTCATGTTATTGTTCGACTTTGAAATATTTAATAAAGTGTATATTTTATAAACCATTTCTAAAATTGATTACATTGACACTAGGTTTAGGCAATGTTTAATGAGTAAGCTGTAGAGGAATCAATCTGTTGGAAAACTTTATCTTATAGGTTTAGGCAATGTTTAATGAGTAAGCTGTAGAGGAATCAATCTGTTGGAAAACTTTATCTTATCAATCGATTCATTACATTCCATCAAGGCTTAGCAAGAGTTACCTAAAGCCATTTACTTCCATCATTCAGAGGCATGTAGCTTTAAAAATTACATTGTTCCTTTTTCATATTGAATTTCTTAATCCACAGATTAGAGCCAGCCATCTTAGCGGGGACTGTCATTTCATGAGAGAGTGGTTGCGTGGTCACTTCAAGATAAAAGGTCATGAACAAGTAAGTTCTATATAACCAATTCTATCTCTACTCTCTGATCCGCCCTTCTTGAACTTACCCTATCCATGTACATGGAAATGAAAGTCATGTTCTATATGAGTAACATTTATTATTGTTGATGCTATTGCTGTTATTATTATGATCATCATCATCATTATAATTCTGGTATAGGCATGCGTGAAACGAAGAGTGATCTATTCAATGTGTGACAATACCAATCAATCAAAGCTTGATGCTTGTGCTGCTATGGAAAAAGTCTGGGATATATGTTACAGTGACATGGATCCTTTTGAAAAAGTTTCTTGAGTCATAAAATTCTCTCCGTCCCTTAAAGACCCTTACTATTTTGACCTTTCAGAGTTCAAAAAAAAAACAAATTATGTTTGATTGACTTCTAGAAATGCTTTTTTGTCGTGGGTAAATATTATTGTAGGGGGTAATGTTTTGACTTTTGACACAGTTAGATACTGAAACTTGAAGGTAATACAGTAAATTGAGGGCTTTATTTAATGTTTTTTCGTAGAAAAGTACAAAACATTAAAGAGGGAGTAATTGTGAACTAAGCCCACTTGGGGACTAACTGTGACTGTTTAGAGGACTGCTTATTCAAGAGTTTAGATGATGGTTGTTATGACTTTTACGTTTTGTTTCCTGGAGATGTGGCTGCAATAGAGACTAGATGATAGAAGATGGTTTCTTGATCTTTTTGTTTTCTTTTTGTTGTGAAATGTACTTATTTCAGTGGTATTGTTTTTATTGTGAAATACAACTCGTCCTGTATTCTGCTTTCGGTTTGCCCTAGAAGTAAAAACGTGTGTGAAAGTCAAAATATGAGTATGTTTTTATTCCTTAAATATAAGATTACTAGCTTACTAGACTTTTAGCATGATAGTATTTTTCTAGCTCACAGTAATTACTTATATTTAAGGAATACAAATATAGTACTCCTATTTTTGAATTCCAAAATATATACTCCTATTTCGGAACTTTTCCCTTCTAAATGATGTTTGAAATTGAGAATCTAAACGATTAAAACTGACATTGAAACCAAGTAGGACATACCTACATATATATACCACCCAATTTGTCCTATATTATTCCTAAAAATGACAAATAATGAAATAATTAATGTTCACAGGATGAAAGAAGACAGTAGTTTGATTTGCTTGATCAATCCTCGAGCTAGGTCTACTTTGTTTTTGGTGGTGAGGTGAGTTTGGTGATTTTTTCATGCTAAAACAAAATTTACTGCACTCTAAATAATACCAGCGGATTCACTGGATTGGCCAGTCTTAATTTACCGACAACCTGGAAAATGTATGGGATTAACCCGGCAGGCTGGCATATTTGGGTATTAGGAATAGCCTTGAGTACTCGTAAGTCAAACATGAAAGTCAAACCTAGTGCTTATGCCATTTCGGGAGTATTTGTAATAGCCACTCTGCCACTTTATATATGCAAGGGTCAAGGATGTTATCTCAGAATCACATACTCCGTATAGATTAAGATCGAGTTAATTGTGAGCTACAAAATTATCATCTTGAAAATGATTATTATGATTTAGTTAGTAATTTTTTATATAAATGGGCGTATAATCATATCCAATTGAAACCATAATGTATACTTCCTCCGTTTTTTAATTTTTGCAATATTGTGATTTTTGCACTATTCACAAACTTTACTTTGATTACGATTTTCTACTAATATACATAATCAAATTATTACGTATAAAATGATATTGAATTTCTATCAATGTGAATTTCCAAAATATCGACCTTTTATGTTGTTTACTGATACATAATTAAATATAATTGCGGTCAAAGTTATGTGTTGACAAACATGAAAGTCAAACTGTAGTAAGAATTAAAGAAGGGAGATAGTATCGTATAAGTAAGCCGTCTTGCCACTTTGCCAGTCTTGCATCATGATGAGTCACGCCGCCGGAACTAAAGCAATAAACAAACCATTGATCCGATAACTATATAAGACCATGGAATTCAGGCGCTGCACTCCAAACCTTGATTATTCATAAAACTAAAACAAGCAAAAGTCACTACTTGGCTATCATAGATTCATTCAAATGAATTATTGTTATTGGGGAGAAGAAAAAACTAGATTTCGCTGGGTGTACACACCGGTTTATACACTCGTGTACACACACAAGTGTAATTGTCTTTGCATAGACAATTACGCTTGGTTTTAGTAAAGGAAAGTGTTTGTGACCCCGAATTGCCTATGCAAAACAATACATTCTTTAGAGTCACATACAATCCGGGATCACACACTTTGATTTACTAAAATTCAAGCGTTATTGTCTGTGCGCAGACAATTATACTTGAGTGTGTAACCACTGGGCAGGGTGTACAGCGTACACGAAGCAGAACTCAAAAAACTACCCCCTATTAAATTAAGGGTCGTTAAGACCACAAACCTGATACATGTTAACTTTTGCAATACACCATGATTGAGCGTAATTGTTCCACTTAAAGAGTTGTCGGAGAAATCCCTGTTTAACAAAAATAGGGTTTGATGTTAAACAGGCCGGCTATGTAGTGTGAATTTAAAAAAAGAGCTCGACATGGCTTGTGATTAAGATTTCCTTTGTACGTAGTAACTTATATACTTACACTATTTGGAGTGTAAGTATATAAGGAACACCACCCGTCAATTGATTGTGGTTCAGCCGTCTTCAAATTCCCACCCAAAACAAATAAAATAAAATAAGGAAAACAATAATGTAACTCCAACTTCACTTGCATGCAACAACAATAATTGGGATTCATGGAAAATAGTATACCAAGTGGAGGGCAGTGATATACCATAGTATATCAAAGGATGCTTTGGGTAAAACGGAACAAAATGATTATGATTAGATACGGATCCACGATTTAAGATCAATGGATGCGATTTTTTTGGCTAATGTAGGGTAGCGATTTTTTTCAGGGGGCCAATTTATTCACTAGTACATGCCTCTACCGGAAAATTACCCTAAATTTGTATATTCTAAAATATGACTATCATGTTTTTATTCTCAAAATATGATTAATTACTGATATGTTTTGGCAGTACAAGACATTAAATATAACAGTATTTTTCAAACTTGACAATAATTACTCTTATTTTGGGAATAAAAACATGACAATTGATGGATAGTGTACCCGGGGGTAGCTTATCCGAGGGGTTATTGCTGAGAATAACTTAGAGAGAAGTCAGAGCAAGTAAATATAGAGAGAGAAAGTGTATTGCAAAGTGTGGAGCGTTTTCAGCGTGGTTACAAATGGGGAAATGAGGTGCTATTTATAATAGCAATAAATGCCGGATAGGGACACGTGTCAAGCGCCCATTGGTCGAGAGGTCACCTCAACTGGTTGGCGCTGGCAGCCGCATGTGGCCGCATTTAATGCGGCTGTTGGATGGGACGTTGTACAGGGTACGGTGATCTGTACGCATGTGGCGCGAATATTATGTCGAGAGAGGTGCCCTCGGCTGCAGAGGACTAGCCGAGGGCTCTTAGTGCCGAGGACCCCTGAGTGCCGAGGGCTCCAGGTGCCGAGGGCTACTGTTTTCTGCCGTTTTCCCCCCAGTTTCTTAGTTTGTTCGAAATATCCATGCTGTGATAGTTTGGAGCCCTCGGTCAGGGGGCCGAGGGCACCCCAGTGTGCCTTGAGGGTTGATTTGTGCTTGGGGCGTTATAATTTTGGGCCTGCAATGCTTCTTGGGCTTGTTGGGCCTTTGTTGGAGTAGCGGGAGTCTGTGGGCTGGGGGTTCCCGGGCCATATACTCCATCAGGAGTCCCTCACTCCTTTTGCCGAAAGGTACTTGAGGGAAAAGGAGTAAACTGTGTCTGCCATTTGATGTTGCTCCGTTGTAGTTTGGTGAGGAGTTGTTGTTTGCGTGTCCCTGCCGAAGGCAGTCCCTCAGTTACCCACATGTCGGGACTTGAGGGATTGCTTTGCCATCTGTAAGGGTTTTGGATATTTTTGTATTTTTGTGATTTTCCCGGAGGGGTTCTCCAGTCCCCCACTCCTTGAGGCACTTGTAAAGTGGTGAAAAGGAGTAGAGTATTATCCGTTGCTGTATGTGGCCGAAGGTTAACGCTTTTCGTTTCATTTTGGGGGGATGCCTCGTTAAAAACCTCATTAGGAAAAACCCTGTGGGAAAAAATCCTAATGAGGGAAAAAGAGTGCACCGAATTCCCCCAATGATGAATCGAAAACGTGAAACCTTGGTTCGAAATGGAGAATAACGGTAATGCCGAAGGCTCTCCTTGTTCTGAGGGCTCATGTGTTGATTAGCCGAAGACTTGCTGTTGATGTCCTGGGGGTGCCGAAGGGGAGCCCCTCAATCTTGGGATCGAGGGCATGATGGATGAGGGCAGTAGTTGAATTGTCGCCGGGGGGTCCCCTGCTTGCTGGTTAGTTGGTGATGAGGATATCCGAGGGCTCCCATTACCTGTGTGCTGTAGGCTATCCGTCAATGAGGCATACTCCCCGGGGGCTACCCGGCCCTTACAATGCTGAGGGGGAATCCCCGAGGGGTGGCCTGTCATGAAGCCTTGGGCTTCTGAAGGAGTGATCCCGAAAGCGTCTGTTATGTGCTGTGTGGGGCACAACCCGGGGGCGTCTCTAGGTAAGTGTACCCGGAGGCTCTCCTTGATGAAGTGGAGTGAAGTAGAAAACCCGGGGGCTTCCAGAATATAGCCGTTAGAAATATAGCCGTTGGAATATGTATCGTCGGGATATAGCCGTTGGGGGAGGAGGACACGTGGAGTGTAGCCGTTGGCTGCTCGTGGGCGGGCGTCACCGGTTGGGTGAAACGACGGTACGTAATGATGGCTTTGGCCGCTGGGGGCCCGGATCTCGGCCCAAGCCCGGATCTGGGAGCCTATAAATACCCCAAGCCAATGCCATTCCTCCTTTACGCATCCAACATCCTTAGCGAAGCTCTGCCAAAATTTCTAGAGAGAGAAACTCAAGCCTTCGGTCGAATCCGCTGCTTTCAAAGGTCAGTCCCTCCTTCTTCAAAGTTCGTAGTAAGTTTCGTCCTGAGGCCTTAGATTAGGTGCTAGAGCCTGTAGAAAGCTTTCGGAATCTTAGGCACATTTCGTGATAAAAATGTCGTCCGAGAGCGATTCCCAAAACATTTCGAGGCACCCTTCGGTTGGTGAGGGGCATGTTTCTGATGCGGAGTCCGTGAGCGAGCCCTCGGTTGGTGGTGATGCTGCCCTAGCCTTGGAGGTCCAGAAGGAACTTATTGCTGAGGTCGAAGCCGAGGGCTTCGAGCAAGAGTGTGAGGATGAAGACCTAGCCCGCGCATGGCAAGTAGAGGAGGACGAGGCACAAAATGAGAGTACGAAGGTTACAGTTGCTGTTCTCCCCCCCGGGTTCTGGGGAAGCAAGTAGCTCGAGGCCGCTAGATCCGACACCTTTGAGGGCGGTCTCCGGGTTGAAGAAGAAGAAGGCGAAGGCCGCTACCAAAAAGAAGGAGAGGGCTGTTGATCAAGGAAAGCCAGTGGACATGCCCGAGGGGTACAGTTGGTTGAACACCGAGGCCCTCGAGATTAAGTCGAAAGCCGATAAGGCTGATCTGTACGTTACTCGGCTGCACGTGGGGCCCTCGGCCGAAGTGGTGGAGCCGGGTCCTGACGACGTGTTGTCCAGGGCGCCCGAGGGGTTTATCGCCGTCCACATCCTCTCGGTTTCTATGGGACTTAGGTTCCCTCTGCACCCGTTCCTTCGGGAGTACATGAGGTTTGTTGGTTTGGTCCCCTGCCAGCTTACGCCCAACAGCCATTCCTACATCGCGGGGTTCCTCCAGCTCTGCAAGTCCCGAGGGGTGAAGCCCAGCCTGGATCTATTCTTTCAGAGCTTTAACCTGTGCCGAGGGGGGCACGAAAACGGCGAGGGATACGCGAATTTGCAGCAGATCGCCCGTTTCAAACTATTCTCCGACGCCCCTTCTTCAAACAAAGGGTGGAGGGAACGTTGGTGTTATGTGAAGCTGGACGAGAACCCATTCCCGAGGGAACTGCGCGATCGATTCCGAAGGCACAAAAAGATCAGGAGTGCTGCCCTCGAGAAAGACGGCCTAAAGCTCGCCAAGTTCCTGGAAGGGAAGAATAAGAATGTGGCGATCAAAGATTGTACCCTTGAGGAAGACTTATACACCCTCGGGTTCCGAAGGTACCGCTTCATAGGGGAGACCGACGAAAAGTATCCTCTCTTTAACAAGGCCTTCGGAGGAGTCGGAGGTAGGAGCCGAGGGCTTTAGATTTTTGTACTTAGTCCTTTTTTTTGTTTTGCTTGGATGTCATTGTCCCTTCACTGTAGACCCGTCGGCCTAATCCTTTGTCGTATTTTTGCAGGCATCCCCGTGTCAATGGTGAATGTGAAGGGCCTTGCGTGGCTGAAGAACAAGGACCCGAAGGGGTCGGGACAGGGCAACCAGAAGCCCATCGCTACCCTCTTCAACAAATCCGAGGGCGATGCCGTTGCCAGCAAAAGGAAGGCGGCGGCCAAGGGGTCCCCCCCGGCTACCAAAAAGCCTAAGAAGGGGGATATCACCGATAAGGAGCCCCCGGTCGTGATTGTCGATGAGCACCCCGCCTCCGGGGTGCATGTGGAGAAGCCATCGGATGGAACGCCGGCGGGGGCAGAGGAGTTGCTGCCTGAGGTCCTCCATGTTTCTCTTCCGAAGGGTACATCTCTGGCCAGCGGCGCTGTTGACCCGGGGGCCATCTTGAGGGGCATAACCCCTGAGACGGATAGGGTTGCCCTCGGGGCTTATAATGATGCGGCCCTCGAGGACCACATTCTCCGCTCCTCCCTCTCTGTAAGTGTTCACTCGGCTTTCTTCCTCTTTTCCTTTGATCATTTTGCGTGATTGCCTTTAACCGTTTTTGTTGTTGATCTGCAGGCTTGTCTAGCCCTCGGCGAACAGGCCCGGAGGCTTCAAGAATGGCGCCTCCATAAAGCGGAGCAGGACGCCAAAATGAAGGAGTGTATTCTCAAAAACAAAGAGGCGGTGAAGCTGGGGGCCAGGCTAGAAGAGGAGCTTCGGCAAATGAAGCTAAAATTGGAGGCTGCAGAAAGGAACAAGGCTGAAGCTGAGGCCGCTGCTGAGGAGGCCAGGAGAGCTGCTAAAGAGGCCGAGGATTCCAAGGCGCTAGCCGTCGCCAAAGCTCAGGAGGAGGCCGTTGATGCTTTCGTCGCTGAGGGTTGGAGAGCTGAGGGATGCAAGGTGTGGGTGTCCTCGGTTGTGGAGGCACGCGTTGATGAATGGGCCGAGGGCCCTGGGTGGGAATGGATGGCCCGGAAGGGCAGAGAATATTATGAGACCGGCGAATTCTTCACCAAGGCCCTCATCTATCGGAGGATGGCCCGACACCTGAGCATTGAGCCAAAGGATTTCGCCCCCTCGGCATATGGCCTTCCTCCCCTGCAGCCTGATGTCCGTGAATCCCTTCCCGAAGGTGTACAACGGCCCGATCTTGAGGACACAGAGCTGAAGAAGGAGGCCGAGGACGACGTTGTTGAGGCCGGAGCGGAGGTATCGTAGAGGCCGGCTGCAGAGGACGCCCCGGGGAATGATGCTGTTGAGGTTGTTGAATGATTTTGTACTTAGAAATTTCTGAACAAACTTTTGTAATGAACACCATTGATCCTTCGGCTTCGGCCTGCTTGTAACTTTGCACTTACTTCTGTTCTTGGTGAATGCATGCTGCCTCCGGGCTTTTCACATTTGAATGCGCGTTCTGTTTGAATGTATGCCTTCTCCTTTATGCTTTCCTCACGTATGAATGTATGGTGGTTTAGTGATGGCCGAAGGCCATGTTATTGGGACTTAGAAAATTTTTGTAAATGTAGTGTGTCATGTAGCCTTCGGCTACTGTGGAGCCCCAACTGAAATGTTGATTAGGCCGGGGGGCCAATCTTTAGGACTTAGAACATTTTCCTCAGTGTTGATTCCTTGTGTACCGTAGCCTTTGATTGATAGGTAGCCTTCGGCTATTAGGTCCCTTCATAAGTTGAGATGAGGGTGAAATATGTAGGACTCAGAAAGATTTCTAAGTGTAGGTTTTCCCTTGGGAGCCTTCGGGCGATGGCATCCCTTCTTGATGTATGAGTAGTTGACCGAGGGAAAAATATGTAAGACTTCGAAAATTTTCTAAGTGTTGTTGTATCGCATAGCCTTCGGCTATCATATTCCCTTAGCTGTAATATTGGTTGGGCCGGGGGTCCAATCTTTAGGACTTAGAATTTTTTTCTAAGTGCTGCTTCCTTGTGTCGCCTTCGGGTGATAGGTGCCCTCTGACTCTGCGTCACTTTTGCGAGATGCCCGGGGGCTACTCATTTAGGACTTAGAATATTTTCTAAGCGTAAATTGATGTTGAGCTTCCGGATGTAGATCACTCCGGGTATATGAATAGGACCCTTCGGGTGATCGTGAGGCCCTTGTGTTGTATGAGTATTTGACCGAGGGCCAAATATGTGGGACTTAGAAAAATTTCAAAGTGTGTCGTAGATGTTGAACCTTCGGTCAGTGAGGAGTCCGTCCGAGGGGCAAATATTTTGGAATAAGCCCCCTCGGTTGGCCTTTGATGATTTGTAATAGATGCCTTTAGTTGTCGGGTGATATATTAGCCTCCGGTTGTTGTCATTTTCCAAAAGTGTGGACTTAGGAAAAGTGTGGAATCCTGTTGTTGTAAAGAAAGCCGATGAGGAGTATGTGCCCTCGGCATTCATTTGAAAAGTTGTAGAGTTTGACTTAGCCAGTTGTGTCCCTTGTCATGGGGTAAGGGCCCTCGGTATTAGTGCATAACAGATGCCCTCGATATTTGTTTGAAGTACCGTTTAGTGGACTTTGGATAGTCGAGTCCCTTTGTATTGTTGAAGCCTTCGGTGTTTGTGTGACCGGAGGTGACCAAGCAGTGGACTTAGCCATTTCTTGATGATATTTGTTTGAGTAGTATCCTTCGGGAAATAGGAGCCTTCAATTACCGGAGGTGTTCCCGTGGGAAGCCCTCGGCATGTTGTGATCTGTTGGAGTGTACTCTTTGATTTCTCGCTGAGTCTACTCCCCTTCACCACCTCTTTTTTTTTTTGGTGGTGAAGGGAAGGCATCAAGAAACTTGGTTTCTTGGTAAGGCTGGGCCTATCAGGAGACCATCAGAATACACCAATGGCTCTCCTCCCTCGGGTTAACCTTCCGAGTTCCGAGGGGATCGAGGGTCGTTTCCTGGGTACAAGATATGATGGTCTGTAACCTGCCTCCCCTTGGGGAATGGCACGGAAAGCGCCTCATTTTTGAAAGTCGTCCCCTCGGCGCTAGACATAGTCCGTGGTCTGCCACACCCTTGGGGTGGTGGCGCGGGGAGCGTTTCGGTTTGAAAGTCGAATCCCGGGCATTTCTCGTGCCTGTCATACCCTTGGGGTGATGACGCGGAAAGCGTTCCGTTTTTGAAAGTCGAATCCTGGGCATTTCTCATGCCTGTCATACCCTGGGGGTAGTGACGCGGAAAGCGTTTCAAGGAAGGGTTTTCATTTGCACACTAGTTGCAAATGGTCGGGGGCACTACGTGCCGCCGGCACCTATGGTGGCGCCTTCGGTATATGCGTCCTCGTGGGGTACGGCTTTAGAAACAACACTTGGTGTTAGTTTCGATATGTAGCTCCCCGGTACTTGGTACCGAGGGATCTCCTGTAGGGACACTTGGTGTTCTTCTCCTATTTGACGTTGATGGGTGAGTTGTGTACCCCCGGTACTTGGTACCGAGGGGTCTTCTGTGAGAACACTTGGTGTTCTTCTCTTTGATGTTGATGGTGGAGATGTGTACCCCCGGGACTGGGTGCCGAAGGGTCTTCTGTAGGAACACTTGGTGTTTTGATTGGAGTGTTCACCCTTGGCATTTGGTGCCGGAGGGCCTTCGAAGGAAACGCTTGGCGTTTCCCAACAGGTGTTTGAAAGTTGACAGGAGGGCATATCCCTGGAACTGGGTGCCGAGGGGTCTTCTTTGAAACATTTGGTGTTTTTCTTCGTTTTGATGTTGATGGTGGAGGTGTACCCTCAGCACTGGGTGCCAAAGGGAAATGAAACACTTGGTGTTTCTTGTCGTCGGTGATGGGAGTTCCCACCCTCGGTACTTGGTACCGAGGGGTCTTGATTGGAAACACATGGTGTTTTCACTGTTGTCGTAGGTGTTGGTGGTGTCCGCCCTCGGCACTTGACGCCGGAGGGGGTTCTTCTCGAGGTGAGGCCTGGGGCCTGTAGTTGGTATGAGGGCTTGGCCGCTCATAAGTGTTTTGTTCTTGGTGTCTTGAATGTGTCTTCATTCTTCAAAATTGGAGGCCTTGGGCCATAGGATAGTACATTCACTAGTTATGAGGGCTTGGCCGCTCTTACATTATTGATAAAATTTAACTAAGTGGTGTACATTCCAGTGCCTAGGGACCTCTTTCCCGTTGGGGCGTTTGAGCTTGTAAGTCCCAGGTTTGATGATGGCTGCTATGATGTAGGGGCCTTCGAACTTTGGTGCCATTTTGCCTCCCTCGGTCGGCTGGCTGGCTTCCCTCCTCCGGAGGACATAGTCCCCCACTTGGAATTCTCGGGTGCGAACCTTGGCGTCGATGTAGCCCTTGACTTGCCTTCGGTAGTTTTCTGCCCGGATGAAGGCTTGCTCCCGACGTTCTGAAAGGAGGTGGAGGTCGAGGTCCATGTTGCTGTCGTTGACCTCGGGGTCATATTGGATCACCCTCCGGGTGGGAAGGGTGACTTCCGTAGGAGCTTTGGCTTCAAAACCGTAGCAGAGGGAGAAGGGTGTTTCACCTGTTGCTCGCCCAAAGGATGTTGTGGAGTTCTTCCACCCAGCCACCGCCCTCGGCCTCCAGCTTCTTTTTGAGGCCCTCGAGCAAGGTCCGGTTGGCATTCTCTACTTGCCCATTGCCTTGAGGGTAGGCAACGGAGGAGAAGGTGTGTTTGATGCCTCATGCCTCCAGAAGGGCACAGAAGGGGGCTGCCTCAAATTGTGTTCCGTTGTCGGAGATGATCTGCTGGGGGACGCCAAACTTTGTGAGGATGTTCTTGAGGACGAAGTGACGGCACTTCGCCTCTGTGATACTGGCGAGGGGCTCAGCCTCCACCCACTTGGTAAAGTAGTCGATGGCTACAATGATGTATCTGTTGTTGGAGGTACCCCTCGACAGAGGGCCCACAAGGTCTATCCCCCATCGAGAAAAGGGGACGAATGTGCTGATGGGGGCATAGTTGACCGCTGGCCTGCCGGGGGCTTTCTGGAAATGTTGGCATGCGGTGCACCTTCGGGCAAGGTCAGCACAATCTCTTGCCATGGTTGGCCAGAAGTAGCCCTGGATAATGAGCCTTCGGGACATGGAGAAGGGTCCCTGGTGAGCTGAGCAAGTGCCACTGTGCACTTCCTCCATTGCGACCTCGGCTTCGTCTTGATGAAGGCATCGAAGTAGCGTGCCGTTGTAAGACCGTTTGTAGAGCCTTCCGTCTTCGATGGTGTAGCTAGGAGCCCTCAGCTTTGTTAGTTTAGCGCGGGTCTCGTTTTCGGGTAGCTGCCCCGCGGAGATGAAGGTGATGATATCTGAGATCCAGTCCTTTTGGCGTTGTTGTATGTTCATGACGGGGCTCACATGGATACTCGAGAGACTGAGTTCCTCAATTTTAGCAATCTTGGAGATGTGCTCGGGGGAGTCGGCCAAGAGCTTAGATAGTATGTCGGCCTCGGAGTTTTGAGCCCTCGGTATTTAAGTGAGAGAGTGTGCCTCAAATACCTTAAGCAACTCCTTAGCCGCTTCCTTGTACTGTTTCATTCTTCCCTCCTTGGCCTCATATTCCTCGGAGATCTGGCCAACGACCAACTTGGAGTCGCATTTGATGTGGATCTGCCGAGCCTTCATGTTGGCAGCCAGCCGAAGGCCACATAGGAGGGCCTCATACTCGGCCTCGTTGTTGGAGACTTTGAAGGAGAAGCGGATTGCATAGTAGGCTTTGAAGCCCTCGGGAGTAATGAGGACTACCCCTCCCCCGCATGCTTTGGTCGCGGAGGAGCCGTCGGTGTAGAGGGTCCACCAGTCGTCCAAGGCAGCCGAGGGCTCCCCGTCCGTGGCTGCCCTTGTGGTACACTCCGTCACAAAGTCCGCCAGGGCTTGGCCCTTGATGGCAGGCCTCGGACGGATGTCAATGTTGTACTGGCTCAAGAAGATAACCCATTTCACCATGCGGGAGAAGCTGGTGGGGCTCCTCATGAGGGCGCCGAGGGGTTGATGAGTGAGGACCTGAACCGGGTGAGCCAGAAAGTAGTGGCCCAACTTCTTGACGGTCCAAACGATGGCTAACACCGTTTTCTCCACAGGAGAGTACCTGAGCTCGGCCTCCCTTAGGGTCTTGCTTACATAGAAGATGGCATGTTGGATGTCGTCTTCCTCCCGGATGAGCACGAAGCTGATGGCTGCCGGGCTGACCCCAAGGTAGAGATAGAGGGTCTCCCCTACCTTTGGTTTGGATAGCACAGGGGGTGAAGATAGATATCGTTTGAGTTCGTCGAAAGCTCCCTGGCATTCTGGAGTCCATTGAAAGCCTGCCGTCTTCCTCATGATCTGGAAGAAGGGTAGAGACTTCTCCGCTGATTTAGATAGAAAGCGGTTGAGGGCTGCCAGGCGGCCCGTCAACCGTTGAACTTCCTTCAAATTGCGTGGGGGCTCCATG